TAATTCCATCTTGGAAGACAAGAATCTTTCAGAGATCCCAAATTTCAGGTATGTCATTCACTTTTTAGAGCATTTTCTCATTTACAAGGATGTATGAACATTGAACTATTTGAGTTCATTGTTTAAATTTCATGTCTAGTGAATTGAAATTTCAGATGGATACTATTTAGCATCGGTTAGTTATTTCGTATTGTTGTTGTACTGCTAGATTGTTGTTGAAACAGCTAGTTACTATGGAGGTCATCCAATGGACAGCTCTATGGAATGATTACAAGGATGAGTTCGATAATGAAAAGAACTTGTTAGGAGGCTCTTTGGTTGAGAAAGCTGCAGAAGATCTTAAACAAAGGATAATCGAGCATGTATGTTCCCTTTGTTGTATCTCTTTACTTTGTTTAGCCGTGTACTGAACATGTGGTCATTGTAACTGAACATATTTTTTTATTTTTAGAATATTCTTGTCGTGTCGAAGTATTACTCAAGGATTACATTGAAGAGACTTGCTGAGCTGCTGTGCCTCAACCTCAAGGTTTGTAGATATGTTACAAACTTGCTAAATTTTCCTTTCTTCTAGGTCTCTCTCTCTCTCTCTCGATCTGTTTTGTTAATACCGTGTCTTTTCTTCATCCAGGAAGCAGAGAAGCATCTTTCTGAAATGGTTGTGTCCAAGGCTTTAGTGGCGAAGATCGACAGGCCAATGGGCATTGTCAGCTTCCAGACATCGAAGGACAGCAATGACATTCTAAATTCATGGGCAACAAACTTGGAGAAGCTGCTTGATCTTGTTGAAAAGAGTTGTCACCAAATACATAAGGAGACCATGGTTCACAAAGCTGCTTTAAAAGTTTGAGAAGGATGATTAGGAGCCATGTGCCATTGGTATACCGCTCACTCTTCTCATATTTAAACTTCACATAAAAAAGAAGAATAATTTAGGTTAAAAGAATACGTTTGATCCTGTACTTACATTGGAGAAACAATATAGTCCTGAGTTTTAGTATATAACAAGGTCATGTGGTTTCGACGTTGTTATGTCTAATCTTAATCCCATTACAGTATAACGTGAATTTGACATGGCTGCAACCTAATCTCACTTGCATATCTTTTTTTTTTTTTTTTTTTTTTTCCCCTCTT